GGGGGCACTAGCCTCCCTCCCACCAACCCTGGCACTGCTTCTAGCTACCAGCCTCGCTGCCCCAGGGCTCTCTGGTTTGGCAACATTTGTTGCCAGATCAGAGAGTCCCAGACCCAGACCTGCAGTTAGCTTAAACTCCAAAGAGCAGCGGCTCTCTCCCATGTTTACCCTACACTTGGTACTTCCCAAATGTGATGTACACCATACTGGTCTAGAGAGCCACAGGATGAAAACCTGGGGAAAGCGGCAGAACACTGATTTACTCCACCCATAATGACAAAATGGGTGCAGAAGGGGGTGGAGGTGCAGGGTCTGGGTAGGAGGGAGGGTGCAGGAATGGGATGGGTGAGCGGGGTCTCAACAAAAGGAGTGTGTAAGTATGATGGGGGGACTGCCGGTTCCAGGCATGAAGTGGATGGAGGGGGCTTACCGGGCTTTGTGCCTCCCACCACTCCCAGGACCCGCCCCTCACTGCTCCCATTGGCTGTGATTCCAGCTAACAGGAGCAATGGCAAAAGCTTCCAGGTGAGTGGTTTTCTGTGCTGCTGTTCCTCCAGTTGAGGTGAGAGCAGCAGCACGCACAGCTGCTTGCTTGCCCCAGATCCAGCCTGTGAGGCTCAGCCCTCTCCCCACTTGCAGCAGGAAGCCAGTGCTCAAACCTCGCAGGGGGAGGTGTTGGAGCGCCTGCACAGACTCCCCATTGGGAGGCATGGGGGAGCCTCGAGCACACAGCCCACCTGAAAGATGGTCACAGACCACATGAGAACCACTGATTTACTCCAATTCCACACTGAAAATGTGTTCATGTGGGAGAAAGCAAAAGGCAACTGCTTCAAACATGCATCCCCTCCCTGTTCCTGCAATAGTCTCAAATCAGCTGCCCACAGGAGTAGCTCGGGATGCCAGTGAGCTGAGCTCTGTATAACAAGCTCAAGTTCTTATTATACAGAGCTCAGTCACAACTCATACCATGCCAACAATGATTTCTACATCAGGTGGTAGAACTGTGGCACTGAGGTTACGTTGTCGAGTTTTTTTCAGAAGAAGATCACATCAGGTGGTAGAACTGTGGCACTGAGGCTACGTTGTCGAGTTGTTTTCAGAAGAAGATCTGCAAATCGCGCTCTCATTTGCATATATTCTTCCAATTCTTTTTGCGGAAGAGGTTTTTCCAATATTTGGCCCTAGCCCTGGCCCTGTGTAGACGGGGCAAAATGTCGTGAAAAAACCTTCACAAGACTTCTTATTCCTCGTAAATCAAGGTTTATAGGGTCTTGCAAAAAGAGGGTTTTTTTCCCAACTTTTGGCCCCATCCACAAAGGGCCAAATATTGGAAAAACCTCTTCCGAAAAAGAATCGGAAGATATGCACATGTGAGCACAATTTGCATATGTTCTTCCGAAAAAAACCTGCAATGTAGCCATAGACACAGTAGTACCAAGAGGTTATTTCCATCCATGTTCTATACAAACTATGATTATGACATAGTTGAGGCTGCATCCTCAATCCAAGAGAGGAACATATGAACTGGAAGGGACTGTCTGGGTCAGAGACCACTACCCTAATATCGCAGGCACTTGTCTCAGGAGAGGAGCCTAATAAATGCATTGCAAGCAGAGATCAGACAGAGGGAAAGTGTCACCTGGTTTGATGGAGGGGAAGGAAAGCCTTGGGTCCTCAGGAGGGTGAGCACGGCGCTTTTTCCTCCAGCGACGAGCTGGGTAGGAGTAGAGCTGGCCAGAAGCTAAACCTTTAAAAAATACAAGAGAAAGCCTGAAACCCGATATTCTGACAAATTGATGCCACAAAGCAATGAATATAAGCACTGTCTTCAGAAAGCAATGGGGATGATGGGTAACCCCAGTGCCTTTAGAGATAAGACCCCATGTTATTTTAACTATGACAGTAGCACCAAAAGGCCCACACTAAGATCAAGGCCCCACCTTTTGACACCATCAAACAGCAAGGGAAAGTCCCTATGACCACAGAGTTTAAAATCTAAACAGATACACGGTGAAAGGGGAAAACTGAAGCACAGAAAGGCAAAGTGACTTGCTCATGGCCATCCAGAAGGTTACTGGCAAAACCAGGAATAGATCCCAGGTCTTCTGACTCCCAGTCTAGTGCCCTATCCTCTGGCTCCCACAGCCTCTCTGTAAAATGGGATAAGTGTTAGGAAGAAAAGTTAGCTGCCAAGGGTCAGTCTTCCATTCCCCATTGTATGAGAAGCTCAGTCTAATATAAGGAAAGCACAACACACAGAGTGTGGTAAGATGCACTCGTGAATGAAAGTGCCAAAGGGAAGTTTTTACCAAAAGCTGCACGTTTGCAGCCCCGTTCCTGTTTCTCAAAGCCATCGTCAGGGGAACCTTCAAAGCTTCAATCCCACAAATTCCTCCTACACACACTGAAAAAGGCTGTGAGATGCCTACAAAACAATGCAGTCTAGCATTGCTTAGGCCAGCTAAGGTTTCTGCTACCTTTGTTCACATTAGCATTGGAATTGCAAGGGCATCTAAGGGCGTTGTTCATGGACCTAGACCCCATGCAGACGCAGAACAAAAAAAAATTCCTTTCCCAAAAAGCTTCCAAGAGAAGTATCATTTTTCACTCTGTCCTTCCAATCACTCTTCATCCCATTTTATCTATTCTGTCCTGTAATACGCAGATTATACACCTTCTGGAGAGGCACTATCTTTGCAGCTTGTCCACGCGAGGAACAGGACAGTGATTAATTCTTGACTGAGCCACATGTATCATCATAAACACCATCATGCACATTTCCTTTTGTGGGGTAGGGGATGTCAGGGCTCTCTCTGCATTTCCTAATACAGCTAGGTTTTAAGACAAAATGTCACAACATAATATTCCTCATGACTTAAACAACATTTGAATTGTCAAAGAGCTATACAAAATAGCAGCACAGACTTTCCAAAGGAGGTCGGTATCACTATTCCCATTTTACAGATGGACACAGAAGGGATGTGACTCACCCAAGATAACCCAACAAAACACCGATCCAGGAACAGAACCCAGATCTCCTGAGTTCCAATTCAGTATTCTAGCCAGTAGGCCACACTGATCTCACACACATTGATGAGATTATTAGTACCAGTTCTGATCCCAGATACAGAGGACTTGCATATTTCCTCAAGTTCATTGCAGGTTGGTAGCAGAATCAGACACAAAAATCAAGGAGCCCCAATTTTCAGTTGTTTTGAAGGATCCCCTGTTCATGGCTTTGAGAAACAGAAATTGATTTGCAAACATGTAGCTGTTGGTAGACGCTTCCCTTCAGCCCTTTCATTCAGGAGTGCATCTTTCCCACACTGTGTGTAGTTATGCTTTGATATATTAAGTCATATTCTCTACTCAGAGCCAGAAGGGAAACCCAGAGATCTTAATTCATACTCACCTTGCTATAACAACTAGACCCAATGGCCTTCCAGAGCTGTGACTAGAATTCAGAAGTCCTGACTACTAGCTTTTTTGCTCTATCCGCTACACTACATTGAATATGCAAGACAATAAACTGTATGTTAGAAGACAGGAGATAAGTGAACTGTAAAAAGAATGCACGCCTGTTGCATTAATCAAAACCAAAGAGCCACCCCGCTCACCTAAACACCTATAAAGGGCCGCAAGAGTTATGCCCATGTACCACAGAATGAATTGGCCCTTAAAGAGATTTGGCTTAGCCCCCACCTGTGACATGTCAGATGCCTCCCAGCAGGTGAGATAAAAAGACAAGAAACAAGCAGGTCTCTTAATGGAGAGAGCTGAAGGAGACCATGGAAGGACCCGGAAGGCATGTTTGCCACACAAATTAGACAAAGACTTGGCTAGAGATAACTGCACAGCAGTTGGTAGCAGGTGCCTGAGGAGGGGGCCAGGCATGCCTTAACTGATGTTGAAGTGTGTGAAAATTAATACATCCCTAGGAAAAGGAAATTAAATACTAAGACACTGGGGGGAGCTTGACTGACACACTGGCTAGTGAGCTGGCCTGCTAGTTTATACAAGTGTGGGTAAGCTGAGGCAGAGCGGAAGCCTAGTGCTGAGTTTGGGGATACATATCATAACAGAAAAGGCCCCACCTGGTCCTCTGTGACGCTTTTCCATCCATATGTAGCAGTTGCTCTGTGCCACTCCGGTCTGTGAATCTAGGAAAGGCAGACGGACACTCCTCTCAGCACATAGCCTGGCGTTGTAGTTGTGGCACTGCTCCATTGCATCTTTGTAGTATTGCTCTCCAAGGCTATGGGTAGAGAAAACAGACACCATGCATTAGTTGTTAGGATTCCCTGATGAGCTGCATGCCTCTTCTGGCACTTTCTGCACACCGGTTTATAACATCCTCCTGACCCTGTGGCAAGATTGAAGATCCCAATATAAATATTGGAGCTAGATCTTTGTAAAGATCTACAGCCAACTCTGAAGACAACAAAATAGCTGGAGCCAAGCTCTAGGGATGTAACAAGAACTATCACATTGGTTTATTTCTTGGGGATTTATATCCCTAATACAGGACTTCCCAGGAAACTATTTAAAAACACCTGCCTCAGGACTTGTACCCTCTGACAATCTATCACCATCATGTGGACATGCCAAGACTTCTAGTTATAATTAGCATTTTAAAAGGACCAATAACCCATAGAGATCAGAGCATACAACAGCCCTTATTCTTGGAATTACTTCAAGTGTGGTTGTAGCAAAGAGGTGTGGCCTCGGTCGGGGACAGTGAGGAGGGCCAGACCCCCTCTGGTGGGCAGAACGATGAAGTCCATGCCCACTAGATCAAAGAAGAAAAACATGACAGGAACAGGAAATAAGATAGGGATGTAGAAGTTTAACCTGTTTTATCTGGTAAGCATTAGTCTAGAGCACTAGACTAAGGTGCCATTGCTGCATCCCTAATTATGTTACACTGCCTGGGGTTGGAACTCTGAACCATTTGGGGACTTCACCCACCCATGGGTTGGGTCCCCAGAATCATTCACAGCTCTCCCTCACCTGAGGTGAAGCCATGAAACAGCCAATTTTCCCTTTCTGATAGACTGACTCCAGGGGCATATGTATCAAAGAGGGATGTGAGTAGTTGACCAGTCGCATGCAAATCAATCAATCAATCAATCTCTCACTCACACTCACACACTCACACACTCACACACTCACACACACCCCCGCCCTCCCCTCTCTATATCAGAGTCAGCAAGTGGGGGAAGCAAGAGCCAGTGCTGGGGGGGAGTTGGCTTAAAAGCTGGTTCCTCCCAGCACTGTCTCCGTGGTGCCACCTGCCTCCTCCGATGATGCCTCTATCAGAGGCGGCAGCAGGAGGGGGGCATGGGAAGCTGTCATGAAGCAGCCTCTGCCTGCAGTGGGTCCAAGCTAGATGCAGGTAGCAGCTGCTCCAGCAACAACCCCTGTCCACAGGGGGGGTCCCAGCCTCTGCACACCCAGATCCTACTACATTTAAACTGCAGATCTGCAGAAGGGGTAGCTCCTGGAGCCGACATGGGCTGGGACTGAGCACTCTGCCTTAACTAATCTGTAGTCTATGCAAATTCTATCGACTAGATGATTAGCCAATTACCCACCTCTTAACATCCTTAGCAGCAAAGAGATGGGCAGTGAGAGGGCGTACAAATGCTTAGAGGTACATACCACTCCCTCCGAAGTAAGGACTGCAGACACTTCCCCTACAGCTTTTGGTATTTTTCTCAAAGCTGCTTACACTGAATAATGTTCTGCAGAAACCAAAGAGGCTTCCCATTATTTTGTATCACAAAGCAATTTAATTTTAATCATTTTTATTTATTACTTCTAAGTGTCAAGGTGCATAGCATTCTAAATCTCTCTAGTGCAGATTTAATGCTGGTGAAAGTTACTAGCCTATTTAAATCCTAGGATGGTGGGCAGAATTAACAGTTGGCTCCAACCCTCTCCTTCTCTGCCTTCTCTCTCTGACCATGTCTACACTGTCACTTCACTTCATTGCAACTTTCCTGTTCAGGGTTGTGAAAAAACACCCCCAATAGCACAGAAAGTTACAGTGCTGTAAAGCACCAGTGTAAATGGGTTCCCAGCACTGTTAGCTACTCCCTTCTTTTAGGTGGTTTCCACAGAGCGCTGGGACAGCTCTCTCCCAGGGCTGGTGCTGTGGCCATACATTCCCTTTAAAGGGATACCATGGCACTTAGGTTTTAAGTGCAGACTTAGCCTATGTCTCAGCTTCACTTCACACCTGCCCTATTCCCCTCATTTTTCATTTAGATGATTCGCCACCCCAATCAAATTGTGGAACATGTTTGCTCACATCCAGAGCCATCCCATTCATAAGATGATTCAGGGCAGTCATCCCAGACTATGCTTTGGGGGACCCCACAGCAGCCACCTCAACCATCCTATGGATGGGTCCCAGAGTGGCCCAGAAAATTATGGGGGAGCCTGGCAGAAGGGGTAGGCCCCACTCCTGCACTCACCGTGGGAAGCGACCTGGCAACCTGCTCCACTTGCCCTCTCCCAGCCCTCTGTGCTCTGCTTCACCACAGCAGTAGGAAGCAAAGCATCCTGGCCCCACTCAGGCTTTTAACTTTGGGCAGGTCTAGATCCACTTGTCCCAGTACCCACAAAGAGTACTGTGTGTTTGTGCAGTGACTAGCACAGGGATGGGGAATCTTTGGGGTGGGGGAGAAGTGGGGGTACTGACTCAAAAAAAAAATCAGTCCAATACCACACGAGTGAGAAGCAAATAAAAAAAAAAGACACAGCGGGGAGGGGGAACCAAGGCTCGGAGACTTGCCACAGGGAGCACTGACAGGGGAAAGCCCCAAGCCTCGCCACAGGCCAGATCAAAGTAAGCTGGGGGCCAGATTCAGACCGCAGACTGCTCAGCTCAGCCTAGCACAACAGAACTCCATTCTCGGTTGGTCCTTAGGTACTACTATAAAAAACATGTTTAATTAAAAGGTGGACCCATTCAGATGAGGGACATGCTGCAGAATCCAGCACTTACTTGATCATAGAGTACAAAGAATGAAAGGCAGATCACAGGCTCACAGTGAGGGATCTAGAAGGTGATGCTGAGCAGAGAACCCCAGACCAGCCTACTTGAATCCTCAGGAAGGGCAGGCAGTGCCCTATCAAGACCCATGCCATAGACGAGGGAAGCACCATGGGAACTAGAAATTGACTGAATCCAAAGGAACTAGAAATTGACTGAATACATGGGACAAGTGAAAAAACAGGAATGGAGATAAAGGTCAAAGGAACATAATGAGCGGACTTGTATGGAGACAGTGCAGAGAATATGAGACGAAGTTGACATTCCTTGAATCTAACAGAAGCTGCTCAGAGCCCATCACCGCTGCTCAACTCTGGGAGAAAAGTAAGTCTCCCTGGCTTTTTCAATACTTGCCATGAGTACTAGCAAGGGAGCCAATAAATAACATACCTGTCCTACTGAGAACTGGATAGGGGATCTATCATACACTCATCATATGAGATTTTTAAAGGCATTGGTAAGCCACGCTGGAGTCAAATGGCAGAGCTGAAAGGCTCTGGTTACTCAGGCAAGTGGGTAATAATCTTTCACCCTAAATACCATTTCATGAAATGTCACAAAAGATGCACTATGTATAGGTGAAAAGTGGAATCCATCTGTTTTAACGCAATTATCCATAAGTAAATCTATTTCATATGAGATCATTACCTTGATTTATATTTGGGTTTTTTATTACATTTAGTACCAAATTACTCGTTTCTCAGAGTTAAATAGGTAGATTACCTAACTGGAACTGAGTAACAGGACCAGTCAGCCCTTAATTCTTATCTAGCTCTGTCTTCTATGATTTGTTTGTTCGTCTTGTCTCTTTCACCTCAGTGGATATACTCCCACATTTAAACATGTCGTTGTAGCCAGCAAAAAACCAAGCAACACTGCTTGTTACTGAAGGGTGCTATCACGTGCTAACAGTAATACTATTTACACAAATACTTGAGTAAAGAGCACATGTTCACAGTTGCACAGTAGAACACGGAAGATTTTATCCAGCATGTGCAAAATGACACACATTCTTGCTTTACACATCCTATACAACACAAATAGAGTATGCATTTCTTGGGGGGCATTATCCTCAAAACATTCTCACATCTCTCCAGTTCTCCAAACAATTTCCACTCTCTGGAAATATCAATAGGGTATTAAACTCTTGTCTTCCATTAACAGGTAAAATGCAAGTCATCTGAAATTTAAAGAACCCAGGGTCCTTTTCATGCCCCAGGATGTTAAGCAAATTCTAACTCGGGCACACCGTGCAGTCTAAATTAGTCTTTTTCACTAGCTGCTTGAAGTTGTTGTGCAGTGCAGCTGCCGTGATCCAACCAAGAAATAGCTGGATTTTAACTGAGTGGAGTGACACTTGCATTTTTGAGATACTCCTTTATGCAGTGCCTTTCAAAGAAAGAAATGCGTAATGTATGTGAACCACTGAACAAATTCAGAAGTACTTAAGTATGTCACATACCCTATAGTGCTAAGATGCTCATTTAGATCAAGTGTTGTAGGCATGTATCTTGAAAGGAGGCTTTGAGTTCTACTCCTCCTACTACAATGAAGACAGAATTATCTCAAATTTACCACATACAACAATGGAAATATCATGGGTGTGAAAGGCTATGATTTAATCATGTTTAATAATGAGTATTTTTAATAAAAGTCATGGATACATCACAGGCAAGAAAAAAAAAAATCACATCTATGAACAATTTTTAATAAAAGTCATGGATAGGTCACAGGCAAGAAAAAAAAAATCACATCTATGAACATGACTCGTATAAATACCCCTGATTAAATCTTGAAACCAAGGGGTCCACAGCACTGGCTTCTGAAGAAGGAAGCCCCAGTGGGAGTCTGCTGCTGCTCCAGCTATCACAGGAGGAGGGGGCGGGAGTCCCAGGGGGCCAGCTGCTCCCACCACTCTGCACAGCTGCTCAGGCAGTCCCCACAGCCAGCAACATCAGCCCATCAGCCAATGCTCAGGCAATCCTGTGGCCAGCTGGCCAGGGCAGCCAGAGCACCTGCCAGTATGGATGGAAGCAAGGCCCCCTGAATTGCTGGCTCCAAAGATGCTTCAGCAGCAGCTGGTGTAACTGTCCCCAGGGCTCTGGGGTCTGCCACACTGGCTGCTGCAGAAGTTATAGAGGTCACAGGAAGTCACTGAAACTTTGACCTCTTCCATGACAGAGATGGGGCCCTAA